AAAAATGATTATCAGATCTATTGTGTCACAAATTTTAAATAAGTAATTGGTTTCAAATATTTTTTCCACTGCCAAAATAATTTGGGCTGCCAAAAATATTTTGGGCTTTGAGCTTTTTTGACCTTTGAAACCCAAATAATTTGAACCTATTCTACCACCCAAATCCCAAATTATTTTGGAATTTGGGTGGCATGTATAGTAGGAGGTAATGAAGTTTGTAATTTTTTTTTGTATTGATTAAATAATGATAAGTGGATAATTAGATTTAGGCAAATTTTCAACAGAGTGGTTTTCAAGCCACCTTTTTTAATACGAGATACTGTAGAAGAGTTTATGTATCAAGTTTTTGTTATTTCCCTTGTCATACATCCTTTTTGTAATGAAAGAAGAAATTTGATTCTTTCTTCAGAAGTCAAGTTATGCTTTTTAGCTAAAACTTGTTTATTGAATAATTGTAACATTGTATTACAACAAAATAAACAAAAAAAAATCCTTTTTATTTGATATTTATGTGGCACAATAATTGTCATCTGGTTTTTTGCCAAAATGATCAAAAGTAATAAGTAATGCAACACATGTTTTGTATTACTTGATCAATTTCAAAACTGACATAACAAGTTTCTCAATAATATCTGTAATTATTAAAACAATCCAAAACTTCATGAAATATTTCAATTTTTATAAAAATTTTTTTTTGTTGCATTACATATGATCGCCACTGTAAATCGTATCTCTCATACTTTTATTAATTTTTGTATCATTTCAGTGTAATCCTGGAGGAAAACATCAAAAACTTACAAATTCACTTGAAAATCAAAATCAAAATTGGTCAACACTATATGTGTAGTCAGAAATAGAGATCTCGGACCCGATGTAGGTGTGTGGCTTCGAATGTCAACTAAAACACAAAGATTTAAGTCTCTCATCTACGACAAATTCAGAAAATATAGAAGAATTAAACACGGACTCACTATTCATGTCCACCTCTTGACGTTTGGATTGAAGTAATTTATTCCATATGCATGCCATTGGGATTTGAATAATAATGTGATATATTTACAAAATGGATTGGAACCAATCTCGCTCTCTCTCTCTCTCCTTAGATGTGGTCTAACGATAAACTTTACCGTTGTGCTTGAAGAGTTATAGGCTGCTCTCTTGTTTATGTATTACTTTATCTTTTTTCTAATATAAAATGGGTGGTAGGCATTGTCTAAAATCGTGAACCTGAAAAAACGTCATGTTCGAGAAAAAAATTAATTATAATTTGCTTCAAATGTACACGTATTTCTATTTACTTTTTCTATATCAATAAAGCTGAGTTTGATTCATATATATTTAAAATTTTTCTTTGCATTTTTCCCTTGGGTCAGTGAGATTTCAGTTATGCAATTAAACTTTTGAATAGTGAAAAACTTATAGTGTAGGCAATAGTATAGAAACAATAGAAAGATTTGATTCTTTTCAATTTTTATTACAATCAATAAAGCAAAGGTGCGTTAACGTGATTTTTACCAATACTTTTTTTCGTGTTGTATTGCATATGTTAATGTGGGTCTATGACTGAGAAATTTCAGTTACGTGACTAAATTTTTGAATAGTTCGCATCTTATATAAAAGAATGTCAAACACGCAATTCATAATTGATTCATTGAGAGAATTGAATTCCAAACTCGTAACTGAGATTACTAATCTTAGAAAGGAGAATACCAAACTCTTGAATAATGAAGCTGGGCTTATGACTAATCCGCAAAAGAAATACTAAGCTCAAGACCAGGTTTGCGGAGTTGGAGAAAAAAAACCGCTCACCTTATAATTGTGAACGTTGAGCTTAAAAGATAGAATAACGAAATTGGAACAGAGCAGACACAAAACGATGTTTCATAGCACTTAGTTTGTTCATTACTAGTAACCTCCCAATCTGAATTTGAAGAAGCAAGCAAGACTTCAAGCCATAGACTCATCACCCCTCAAATCGAAAATCTGAATTCAGAGAGTTTAGTTCTGAGAAAAACGCAGATGAGATTTAATTTACAACTTGTTACCACACTCTGCGATTAATAACGATGACTCAAGAATTCGTTATATGCTTTGATTGCATAAATGTTTACTATAAATATTATTAATTTAAAATTTCAAGAATAATTTTCTATTATTTACAAATTTCATTCAATTTTTCCAATAATTTTTGATGAAGCGGATCACTCAACATGAAAACTCCTTTAGTGGTAACTATACGATGAGTAGGCATAGGTTGATATGTTCCGTGAATAATTTGTCCATCTCTTAATTCTATTACTCCAAATATATTTTCCGGATATGGAATACGACCCCTTTTTTTTTTTTTTTAAAAAAAAAAAAAAAGATTTTTAAATTAAAAAAGAAAATAAGAACGAGAAGAAAGATGTTTAATACCAACCATGGTGGTGGATCTCTGTTATCTATTATTACATTTATATAAATCAAGAAATTAATAAATCATGATATAAATATATCAATTATAACACACACAAATTAAGTTTAATTAAGTTTCTTACCAGAAATATTAAGCCAGCTAAATTAAATGAATTAAAATAAAGACGTTAAGAAATTAAGAAAGAAATTAAGAAAAAAAAGAACGAAAGAAAGAATGAACGAAAGGAAGAAAGATAGAAAGATAGAAAGAAAAGAGAGAAATAAATAAATAATTCAAGTAAATAAAATATATACCCATTTTTTTGATATTTAGCCAACGCTTGTAATTGAGGATCAACAAAGGCTACATTATCCGCTATAACTTGATGTAAGAATTTTACAAATTTCTCATTTTCTTTAAATCCATTTTTTAAATTTAAATTTGAAATAACAAATCCTGATGGTTGTGATAGTTGTTCTGAAATCCATCCAATTACTGCTACATCATTTCTAGCTACTTTGTTAGGATCCGATAAAAATGAAAGTGAATATTTATAGGATTTAATATCATTATGCTCATTATTATTACTATTTTTATTATTATTACTACTATTACTATGATTAATGTTATTATTATTCTTATCACTAATGAGATGATAAAAGAGTCCTTTGTAATTAGAATCTTCAAATGTTGTGGTGATTGGTTTTTTAATAACTGAAGTACTTAGGTATTGAACTTTTGAAAATAAATCATGCTTATAAAGATTATTTAAAGTATTTCGACTATTTCGACTATTTCGACTATTTAGACTATTTAAATTATTTAGAGCATTTCGACTAGTTAAACTATTTCTCAAACAATCTTTACAACGATAAAGATCTACTAAACTTTTTGGCATTTTTGTGAAAAAAAAATATTGTTAATGGAGAATGTGAAGAAATCATTTTTTAACTAATTCATCACAATCACATGGATGTGATGAATTAAGATGAAAATGATAAATGATGAAAATCTAAAATCCAGAAAAAAAAAAGAATATTACGTTACGTTACGAATATTCCCTCCTTTTTTACTCACTATTAATACACTTTTCATTAATCAACTATGCCACAACTAGTAACAGCAGAAATATCGACACCACCAATTCCAACTGACGATGTTGGTTACCTTGATGAATCATATATAAATACTTTATCATTACGACTTCAACTTGGTCCAAATTATAGAACTCAAGTTAATGATAATAATAATAATAACAATAATAATGAACAAAATTTTGATGTTCAAGATAATAATAGTGATTCAGATCTTTCCGAGCTTGACGATGAAGGTTGGGAAGAATTACTTGAACAAACACAACAAATTTTAGTTGCTTTTTTACTTCCAACCATAGGAAAGTGGTTAGGCAGAAAATTTTCTTTCTGGGGTAAAGTATTTTATTTTATTTTATTTTATTTTTAATATTATATTAGAAAATTATATAGTATTAATAGTGATAAATGATTAAATAAATGTGATTTAGCATGGACAAGATTTGTTGAATGGTATTATCAACCATCACAACTAACTGAAAAGAAGAAGGAAACAACAATCACAACAACAACAACAACAAAAAAATAATTCATCTTTAATTCAATCTTCTTTTTCTTCTTCACCTTCATCTTTAATCCAATTCTGCTAAAATCATCATTATCATCATTCAGTAATGATAAACAAAGCAGCTGGGATTTATGGATTAAAAAATTTCTTCATCTCATCAAAAAATAAATAAAAATAAACTTCCTTTCTTCCTCTCGTGTCAACAAATAACAAATCATTACGTTTGACAATTAGAGTTTGTAATGTTGAAATTGTTGATTCTTCTCGGTAATATATACAATTATATATATATATATATATAAAATAATAATAATACATTTAGCATGATCAAATTATAATAATGATAATAATAATAAAATTTCTAATTATTTAGACAAGTTTATTAAGTTTTATCCCTTCTTTGTAAATAGGGAAATTTAAATAACAATCTTCTTAAAATCCTTAAAAATTTAACGTTGACTACTCCATACACTATTATTATTATTATTATCATTATTATTATTATTATTATTATTATTATTATGAAAGAAAATTGTGAATTAATAAAAATAAAATTTAAAATCAAATTAAATCTCAAACGTATTAAAGATAATAATATAATAATAATTACTTTTTAAGAACTTTTAAAATATTTCCGATTTCAAAATCAATTTTAATTATTATATATATATATATATATAAATTGAATTGATTGTTTTTTTTAGTATATACCAATTTAATAAATTTAATAAATAACGAAAGATAAATAAATAAATTAATTACTTACATCCATGTTTTGTCGCCAAATGATTTAAAGAATCATCAGCTTCACCTGAACGACGAACGAACCCACTTAATTCATATTGTACATTTTTACCGGTGTATATCCCTTTTTCGTCTACTTCACCTACAATAATTTGAACTGACGCATGGTCTTTGGCAGTGATAAGCCGATTGGTGATTGAACTATTTTTAAGGTTTCATTATTAAACTTATATTTTGCAATTCGGTGAAATTAGATAAAATTTTAAATATGTATAATATTTACCACTTTCTGGGATTATAAAGATCAATTTGAAGACCTTGTTCGTTTTGCATTTTTGGTATGAAATTTTAGTATAAATTTTTTTGGTAAGGTTTGTTCTAAATGTAAATGATGAATTTTTTTTTTTTTCGGAAAGTTTTTTTCCAATCTTTTTACATCGTGATATGTGTAACTTTGTTCCACTTCTTAAGGTTAGTGTAATGTGATAAAAAAAATAGTCGTCACGCGTGGAAATTATAATCGTTATAAACGTTTATTCGAATAAACGTTTACAGTCGTTAATAACTTTCTATATTTAAAACTTTTTTTTTACTTTGAAAATATTAGAACATTAGAAATCAATAAGATAGTTTGGAATAGAAAAGAAGTTCAGGCAAAATGTTAAACACAGACACAGTGATTAAAAATGATTAAAAAATGATTCAAAGTTGAGACTGTGTTATTTATAAATGTTATGTTTATCATCGAAAACCGAAGGTATTTCTTTAAAAGACTGCATTGGTTCATTTTAAGTTAGTGATTATTTCATTTTGGCCGAATGCGCTTAAAAAAAAAAGAAAAAAGTTTACATCAGAATTGATATAAACTACGGATTTATATATGTATATATTATGAAAGTATAAAAAACTTATCATCCAATATTTATAGTGTAATGTAATAATAAGCTTTTATTGTCTGAGATTTGTTTGTCAATTGAAGATTATATTATATTATATTTAATAATGATTAAATTATAATTCAAAAAATATTTATTCAACTTATATAAATTTGATAATAATTTATATTGAACCAGTCAATTTTATTTATAATTTAAATTATTTATAAATACAGTATTACTTGGGAATAAAAATGTTGATGTAAAAACTCAATTTATTTGATAAATTATCATTTTACTCCCAATCTCTTCTAAACCCTTCATCACGTCCAAATCTTTCATCCCTTCCAAATCTTTCTTCTATTCTAAATCCTTCATCTCGTCCAAATCTTTCATTTCGTCTAAAGCTTTCATTTCCTCTAAATCTTTCATTTCCTCTAAATCTTTCATTTCCTCTAAATCTTTCATTTCCTCTAAATCTTTCATTTCCTCTGAATCTTTCATTTCCTCTAAATCTTTCATTTCCTCTAAATCTTTCATTTCCTCTAAATCTTTCACTTCCTCTAAATCTTTCATTTCCTCTAAATCTTTCATCTCTTTCGTCTCGTCCAAATCTTTCATCTCTTCCAAATCTTTCATCTCGCCCAAATCTTTCATCTCTTCTGAACCTTTCATTTCTTCCAAATCTTTCATTTCTTCCAAATCCTTCATTTCTCCCAAATCCTTCATTTCTCCCAAATCCTTCATTTCTTCTGAATCCTTCATCTCGTCCAAAGCTTTCATTTCTTCTGAATCTTTCATTTCGCCCAAAGAAACCATTTCTTCCGAATCTTTCATTTCGTACAAATCCTTCACTTCGTCCAAATCCTTCATTTCTTCCAAATCCTTCATTTCTTCCAAATCCTTCATTTCTTCCAAATCCTTCATTTCTTCCAAATCTTTCATTTCGTCCAAATCTTTCTCTTTCTTCCCTTTCTTCCCTTTCTTCTAAATCCTCCCTCTCTTCTAAATCTTCCCTTTCTTCTAAATTTTCCCTTTCTCTTAATATTCCCCTTTCTCCTAATATTTCCCTTTCTTTTAATATTTCCCTTTCTCCTAATATTTCCCTTTCTTCTAAAATTTCCATTTCTTCTAGACTTTCCCTTTCTCCTAGATCTTCCAAATCTTCCAAATCTTCCATTTCTTCTTCATTTTCCGTTTCTTCATTTTCCGTTTCTTCCAAATTCCTTATTTCTTCTAAAATTCCCATTTGTCCTTCATTTTTCATCATCTCAACCTGTCTATTATGGTCTTCAACCATTTCTTTGACCATTTTTATCTCATCTTTTTTTGTGAAATAACGCTTCCTAGGTACTACTACATTCACCAAACCTTCCCGAATTCTTCTTTGACCTTTTAAAAAATTTAAAAATTCCTGAAATTTATTGGCATGGGCAACTCGATCTTCCCATAAATAAATTGCTCGAGTAGATGGATGATGCCACAACAATTCTTCAATAAATTTTAATTTGTAAACCTTGGTTCTTATTGGTTTATCCATACTTGTCCTTAATTTTGAAATTCGTTCATAATTCTCTCTTCCTATTTTATTGTAAATTCCTGGTTTATAATACAAACTCCAATCAAGTACATCTCGATCTTGATCTGGTTTGAATCCCATTATATCAAATTCTAATCCTTTCGTTGACGTCAAATCTGTAACTACTTCATGAAATTCTGTATATTTGCGTCCTGTGAGTAATACTGTTAAAGAAGTTGGTTGTAACATTGATTTACGTACTGAACTAACTACTCTTTCATTCCACCATTTTCTATTTTGTTCAGAATTAATATTTAATGTCCTTTTATCTTGATACCATCCTTTATAAATTTTATTTTCATCCATTAAAAGACCAATGAATGAAGAATTCCATAATTGAGGGTTTGGCTGAGGTGAATCGAGAAGTGTCCCATCAAAATCAAAAATATTAATTCTCTCGATAAATGTTCTATCCCCTAAATTAATACTATTGTCTTGTTCGCCTATTAACTCGGAATTATCCCCTCCTGGTGAAATCAAATTTAATAACATTCTCGTTAAACGAACATCCTCAAAAGTATTATTCTTTTTTATATTTTTTCGTAACCACTTCCTCATAAGATTACTTACCTATTCCAAAGTTAGTCATGAGTAAAAAGAAAAAAAGAAAATTTTTTAAAAAAAAAAAAAAATTTAAAAGCAAATGTCAATCTGTGAGATATAAAAATCACGTGAAAGTACGCCTTTTCGTAAATGATGACGCAATTTATTGTTGAATAGCTACATACATACATACATGCCTTCTAGAAAATTTTTCCATATGAAAAAAAATAAAATTAATACTGCGGAGATCAGCAAAATTACGAAATTTTAAGTAAAAATTATACAATTAATAAAGATTCTTTTCCTTTTTACCGTATATACAGTACACGCGTATATAACTTTTTTTTACTTTTTACACACGTATATAACTCTTTTTTCTTGATTTTGCGTTCTTAAAGAAAATGCCTATTCACATTTCGTCATATCTACAACTTCTTTTAACTAGGGATGCTGACTTATGCTAGAATTTTAATCGCGTCTGTTTTTTATATGCCATGACCATAAACTTAAGTTCATTCATATTCTAAGGTCTGTACCTCTACTTTTAACATTCTGTTTTATTAAAATTATATAGCCAAACTCAAAGAAAAGAAACCAAAGAAAAAGGTGGCGTGGAGTGAAGAGGATGAGGTAAAAAGTTTTCTCCAGTTGCCAAAAAGAACCACATATTCAATCCTGAACCTTTCACCATTCAATAGCACAGACACATCGTCAAGCACTCATCAATTGTGCCAAGGCATACTTTAAAGCTGAACAAGAAGTTCTCTCCATTCCTGGTGCTTCAATCAAAGATATCATAGATGCAGACTGCATACTCTATCATCAATATAAGGCTGAAACCTGTCCAGATATCAAACCAACATGCGATCTGTCATGTGTAAAGTCTTCAACCAAGCAAGATCAGTTGTCTTTGACCTTTACCTTTAATTTATATATTTCTAGGGAAGCCATAGCTGCGACCAGAATCCTGGAATAATACTCAAATTTAACGATAATATTACATCAAAAGCTTAATTACGATATTTATTGGGCCATTCTTGAAGCCTCAAGAATTATTGAAGCCAGAAAAGAGTATTCAACATTAAAATAACATACAATTAATAAAGCTATTATATCGACAAATTAGTTAAATAATAAGGTTAAATTTCATTTGCGATAATATTATACGCCATCATTTGTCCATAACTCCATAACCAATCTCTTATCTCTATCTTTGTTTTTTTACAAATATTGATGCATCGATAATATCAATTTGTGTATTTTTTTAACCAGTACCTATATGCAGTGTGTATGATTGTGTTTGTATACTAATATTTCCTGATCCAGATTTTTCATTACAACGAAGATATCGTTATAAATGCGCAGCACAATGTTATTGTTTACATTTTTGCGTTTTATCATGTGATCCAATGTCGTCTGTTGAATATTATTACAATGGTTCCAGTTTTCCAGTAATAGGCTAGAAATGGTAAGTCCAGAATATTGTGACATGTGATCGTTATCTAATAATCATTATCAAAAAAATCGGACAGACACTTGATATTTGAACTTTGGTATCACTTTATTCGTCCCAATATAATGTTGACCCAAATGACCTCAAATGACTTTGTGATTTTGGTCATTTGTCATTTGGGTCATTTCAATTTTTAACATCAAGGATTTTCGCATTTTATTTACATTCGCTCGCGAGAAGCGTAGAGAGATTTTCTACTATAGTATTTCTAAGATAGAAAGAAAGGTCTTGTTCTTGTCTACAAAATAATATATATTTCATCTCGATAGTATCGATATTTGCGAAGTTATTCGCCAGAATTACGGCAGAAATTTTTTCACGGACGTTCGAATTTAAACGCGAATATCTCCGCGAATATCGATGCTATCGGAATGAAATATGTATTGTTTTGTAGACAAGAACAAGAGGTCTTTCTTTTTACTCTAGAAATACTATAGTGGAAAATCGCGAACGAAGCTGTTGATTATCGTTTGTATCGAAAATCCTTCACTTATTAAAATTGGTTATTCAAATGACTTTTCAAATGACTTTGCATAATTTTTAAATGACCTGGTCATTTGAAGGTCATTTGAAGTCATTTGAAGTCATTTGAAAGGTCATTTGAAGATCATTTGAAATCATTTGAAGATCATTTGAAGATCATTTGAGGGTCATTTGCCATCCCTGCTTTGGACAATTATCATTAGTAAACATACGTTCCCTTCAAATATGACCTAGTTGTCCATTGGTCTGTTACATAATGTACACATATATATATATATTTGCAAATCTCTTAACACGAGAATATGGGTTTAATAGTTCACGATATTAAATATAGTAATATAGTAATTATTATAGCACAATACAGTATTAATGAAAATTTTCATTAATAAAATAAAATAATTTATTTAATTGTAATATTTAACATATTTTAAGTTCGCATGAATTGATAAACTTTATATATAAAAAAAGAAATATAACCAAATTACTCAATTTGTTAAATTTACTAAATAAATTATTTAATCTATTATAATATTTTCTATTTTAATTTTAAAATCTAATAAATAAATTAATAAAAAACACTTAAGTTTGTTATTTTTTTTTTTCATTAATATTCTATAACTTCTTTGATAATAATAAAACTAAACAAATTATAATAACTATAATATATAATTATATAACACTTAAAATTTAATGAAACATGATGAAGAATATATAAAACAATTCCCAACACATTATACATTGAATTTTAATTATAAAAATATGTTATTGATATACATTATAAAATATCTTTTAACAAAAACATTTTGTTGTTAAAAAGAATCAGAAATTTGTCTTTCCAATATTTCATGTCTGAGATTAAAAGCTTGATTAATGATCTTTAATAATAGCAATAAATGGGAGATAATGGAAAATATAATTAGAATATATCAAAATGTATATAAATAATAAAAAAGAATTTAAATAAAAGAAAATAAAATATACTTGTTCCATATCCATTGAAGGTAACCTTAAGAGTAAGGTTCTGATTTCTGATTGTTCTAATTCCTCAAGGTTTTCCCTTGCATGCTTCAGCACAGCTATAAAAAAAAATCAAAGTTCTAAGATTCAATTGAATATATATATATATATATATATATATTATAAATTTACAAAACTACAAAACTAAAAAAAAAAAAAAAAAGAGAGACAAACCTAAACAAACGTAAGGATGAAATTCAATTGGGTCGGAGATAGAAAAATATGTATCTAAAAATAATATAAATAAGATATAAATAAAATATATAAAAAAATATAAATAAATTTAACACTTACCCCAGAGCCGCATTAAACTCTCAAATTGAAGTTCTTTAGCAAATAAAAATTGTAACCAAGACGATGCCCATTCATTAATATCAACTTCTTCTTCTTCAAAGTAGCTGCATCTAAAAATAAAAAATAAAAAATAAAAATAATCAAATGAATATTGACAATGATAATAATTGAGAATGATAATGATAACACAATAATTACATACAAGTCTGGAATAACTGCTCTAAATAATGTCATGAAATTTGCGACACGTTCGTTGATATTATGTGTTAAATTATATTCATCTAATAATAAATTATAAATATAAATATATAAATATAAATATATAAATATAAATATAAAATATAATAAAAGTAAATTTCTTCACCTAAAATAGCCATAAGTCTAGTGAAACAATAATAAACTTCGGCCTCATTTTTTATACAATAAACGAACGGACCGCAAAGATGAACAAAGGCCGGATTATAATCAGCATCACGATTATTATTATTCATATAAGCACCAATCACATTTTCAAAGACGTTTGTATGATCTTTGGTTCCATTGATGTCTTGAATTATGTTTTTAATTTTATTACGTTGATAACGGCCTACTTCACCTCGAACACGTTTTATTATGTCTGTGTTCTCTTTTTCAAGGGTAAGGTATTCATCATATTTGGCTTTGAGACTGGTTAATTCCTGTGCTATCAATAAATTATCATAAATAATCATAAATTATCATTCCTCAATATTATAGAAAATATTATAAAAAATATATATATATATATATATCACTTACATTTATCTGCAGGACTTACTCCTAACAAATACTTCCATACTTCCTTTAAAAAAAAAAAGGAAAAATAAAAATAAAAAAAAAAAGAGAGGAAAAATTAACTTGATAAGGAGGGGATCAAGGATATATGATTATCTTTGAGCATTGATTAATTGAAATTTTTTTTTTAATGGAATTTTTAATGATGGATTTGATAAATTTGATAATAGATAATGCATAAATCATCATCCAATTAGATCTTTACCCCACGAACTACCATAGGAACACCATGTCGAGCTGATTCCCGTAATTTATCAAGGTCAACATAAACTTCTGCAGTTAGGATATCTTTGAAATCATCGACTGACATTGCCATCTCTAGAATTCTTTGATTAATCCTAAGGTTAACTGGAGGATAACGAGCAGGTTGTGAAACTTGAAGCATATATGTTATATTTTAATGGAAAAATGGGGGGAAATTATCTAGGGACAAAGATGTAAAAAAAAAAAAGATAAACACCAACTATGAAGAGAGAGAGAAGTAATAATACTATAAAAATATTTTGATATATATGTATATATACAAAAAAGAACAGACAAAGTCTAAAGGGTAAAAAATATTTATTGAATTTTTTTTAGAAAGTCAATACATGATTTACATAAAATGTACGCGCCTAATCTAAATAATAAAATAAAATAAAATAAAATAAATAAAATAAAATAAGATAAATAAATAAAAGGATATCGTATCGTTTTGATCACAGATGATTGATTAAAAGGAGGAGTGAAAAAAAAAAAAAAAAAAAAAAAAAAGGATATATTAGAATGGGTGATGCAGACAATTATTAAATAATATTGGAAAAAAAATCCTTCATTCTCAAAAAAAAAGGAATAGAGGAAAAGTTTAGAGAATGAGGAGAGAAGGAAAGTAGATATTTTTTTATTCTATAAATTATTTGAAGTCAGAAATAAATGATAAGCAGGTTTGTGGGAATATTAGCTGTTTATATTTAGTTTATTTTTTCGTTACTTTGGAAAAATGATTTAAAGCTAAGTGACACAAGAATTTACCATTAACGTTCTTGTTTCTTTTTAGTGTCACCTCCTCGATTGCCTTGTACATAATTTGTCCTTATTTGTATCTCAATTTTACAATGATCTTATTTATGCATGATAATTATGTAATTTCCGTTGTTTCCGAAAATTATCCGCCAAAGCTAAAAAAAATCATCTCTTTGAGTAACAAATCGCGACTACGTGTCAATCACGTTATAAAATTTCCGTCCCGAATTAAAAGATTTTTTTATGGTGCGAGTTTTTTTTTTTGTTTTGTATGCTAATTTTAATTTTTTTAATTTTTAAATGTTTTGTGAGACGAAATTCTTCTTAACCCGGTTTTTTCCATGTTCGTGTAAGTAAATTATAATTTTATCTGCAAGATAAATTATTTCGATTAAAAAAAAAATCAAAAAAGATTAGAAAGAAATTTTAAAACTACAGTCAAAAAAATGTATTCTTTTTTAAATGGTGCATATTCACAATATTTCCATGTTAAGTTATTGATGCATCTCGTAAGATTTTCGAATGTTATCAATTTGTTTACAGTTACACCAGTAATACTTTAAATAAGATTCTAAAAATAATAATTCATTATACAATTACAATTGATTGAATTGATTGAATTGATTGATATACAGCTATACATCAATTGGTTTAGCATTTTTATGTAAATATTTCAATTCGGAACTACCTGTACATTTAAACGGAACGGAACAAATGAGAAGAAATTCCATAATATTTTACATCTATACTATACCCTGATGAAAGAACAATGAAAAAACAAAATGGCTCGGGCAAAAGTCAATAATGAATTCAAGAATCTGCTCCCACTGATGTATTACAGAAAATACTAAAAAGAAATAAAAATGATACTGATGATAAATAATATTACAATGGCTATCAATTTGCATTAAAAGAATGATTGTGTTCCTTTTTTTTTTTTTTGTGCTAATTTTTATGCTTATGTAAATATGTACTTGTGCTGATAATGAATTTTTTACCATTTATGATAAATTACACATTTGACTAATGCTATTGTATTTTTAAGATTTGATTTTATTACAAAGTTTCTTTCTTTTTCCACCAAAACTGACTTTCTCATAGTCTTTTCTCTCGAATATGTCATGTGATAAAAATGATCCAATAAAAGTCTTCACATGATTTGATCCAGTAATAGATTCTACTGTAAAAAGAGAAATTAAATTCCTTTTTAATTATCTTTATATTAATATTCCCAAATTACTCTTATATACGAAGGAGCAGCAAATTCGTATTGCTTTGCGAAACATAATTGACAGTGTGTTTCTAAGAATCTTTATAATTAAAATATTAGTAAATATAAAAAAAAAAACGATTATTTTTATTTATTAAATAAATTAAATTGAATTTTAATAAATACTTTGCCAAATCATTAAAAAGTTTTTCCAATGCTTCCGCCTTTTGCTCTTTCATCTGCACTCCGTGGACCAAATCAGGGATTTTTACTTAAGTAAAAATTCAGCATTATATAATTTATATAATTAGATAGGATTCTATCAAATTAAATTTATTAAATTATAATTCTAAATTCTAAATTATTGAATTGTTGTAACATACCCACAAGACGCATTAAATGTTCAGCTCCATAAATTGACGATGTCGGTCGTTTTGGGTATTTTTCGGTCATTTCTACATATTGTTGACGTTCAAATCGATATAGTAGATATATCGGAAGTGATTCGGTAAAATATTCTCGAACCCCGGCTACTTGTTCACGTATTAAAGTCTCTTGGGTTTTAGAAATTCTTCCATGATTTCTACCGGAATTTTTTAATTCTTCAATCTGAAAGTTACAAAATTCTTCTAGTATTTGATCTACTGTATTAGGACGTGGTAAAGGATGGACAAGCTAAATTCATTGAATTTTGAAATAATTTTTTTTTTTTTAAAAAAAAACCTTGAGAATTGTGAATATAACAAAAAAAATAAAACACAATCTACCAATTGATTCCTGGTATTCCATTGCCATTCATCGATTAATCGAAGCATTCCTTGGTTAGAAACATTTACTGATATCTTGTTTTTTCTTGCTCTTTTCTGTAGGAATTAATAAATATTACATTAACATAAATTATATTAAATAAATTATTTTAATAAAAGATATACAAATTACAAAGACCCGAATACCCACCACATTCTTGGCTACAGAATTATTATTATTGCTATTATTGTTATCATTATTATTGGCATTTGATCCTTGTTCAGCTGTTCGCTTACGGCCTCGACCTTTTAATATGGGGGCTTTAGTCGATTTATTATTATCACTGGCGATGGAATTAATATCATTATTATTTTCCATTGATTCTGGATTAGTAGAAACTGCAGTAACATTGCTAGGTCCTGCATTAGATGATTTCGTATTTGCAACAGCTGCCATATTTTCTTCAGTCATCTTTAAAATTCGAGATTCCGATACCCATTCATCCCATCTTAAACCATATAATTAATTTTCAGTTTATATATATATATATATACAATCTCAAAAAGAAAAATAATAATAAATTGATAAAATTAAGAATACTTTTTATTCCAACCCTTGTAGTGTACTTGGTATTGGGGTCCGACATCTCCTCCTTCATTCTCATACAATATTCTGAAATCAAGGATCTAATTATATAAGTTGATATACGAAATATAAAATACAAACGTATTTAACTCGCTTATTTACTTTTCTTATACTTTCTTATACTTCTCTTATACTTTCCCATATAAAGGGAAAAAAAAAATACCTGAGCAGGATACGCGGTAGGGCCATGAAAACATAAAACAGTCTCGCCGCGTTTGTACTTGAATACTGTTGAGTCAGAACTTGATGAAACAGAAGAAGAGGAAGCTTGTTTCTTGCCTTTAGCCATTAACTTTAGAATTCTAATTAAAATACTATATACTGCTTTTCGGATTGTCAAATTAAATTATTATTACTACTACTCGAGATTTATGTACATCCACAAAGTAACATTTTAAGCTTGCGATCGGCGAAAGCACCAATCAGTTCGCGGAAATATTATCGGTTGTGCAGATCAAAGCAATACGGACGCATCAACTTTAAACCAGAATATCACGAATGGATGGATTCATTCTTTCAAACACTAAATATGATCCTAGCCCTTATTTCCTAATCGTCTTAAAATCCAAGAAAGAAATTACCATAAAAAAATTACTGCAAAACACCACAAATTATCTACTTATGGCCGAAAATTACGGCATTACGGCATGCCGAAATGCCGAAAATATTTTCGGCATACCATTTCAATTCCAAAAATGTCGAAAACATTTTCGGCTGCCGAAATTATTTTATAATAAATGTCACAAGATTTTATTCAAAAATATGCAACTGTTTTTTCTATTAACTTTATATGAGATATTTAAAAATTTTTTTTTTCAGACTCATAAGGTCTTATTCTTTATTTGATTTTATATCAAATTTACAATTGAGAGCATAAAAAAATATAAATCAATTATAAAGAAATGCATATATAGAATAAGAATTAACTAAAACTAATATAAATTTCTCTATACTATACATGTTTTCAAAATTTATTTTTGATTTTTGAGATATTTCATCTATTTGAGATTTATACAGAATCTATTCTATATATGGAAGTAAAAAAAATATCTAGTTAAGTGTATCTTTAATCAAAGAATTTATCTGGATAGTCAAAAAATTTCAGGTTTTAAGTAAAATAATTTCATCTATAAAAAACTACAACGGCCTGCCAAAAGTATCCGGACAGCTGTTTTTTTTTCAAATTTTTTAAAAAATTTCAAGGATGAATTCTGGCACAACGAATAATTTAAATTGCACAAACTTTTTT